GCGCTCCCTCGGCACTGATCCTCCGACAGTGCAGCGCTCCCTCGGCACTGATCCTCCGACAGTGCAGCGCTCCCTCGGCACTGATCCTCCGACAGTGCAGCGCTCCCTCGGCACTGATCCTCCGACAGTGCAGCGCTCCCTCGGCACTGACCCTCCGACAGCGCGGCACTCCCCCGTTTTTCCCATTATTGATGTATTGCCACAATAGGTCCACATAAAAATATTGCAAATGGATTTTGTTACAAACTTTTTACCTCAAAGTATCCATCTTCATCCTCCTCTTCCTCTTGATCCTCATTCTCTTCCATCATCTCACTGCTCTGTTCCACTGCCATTTCTTCCTCTGCTGGTCTATCCATCACCAATTCAGCTTCTTCCTGCTCTACGGGGATTCCACCATTGGACATATGGGAGTCCTGGCTCTGGTTCGATATTGTACTCAGCCTCTTTTCCTGTTGAGAATGAAAATCAAGCACTCTTTATATTTTACTCTCAATATCTTTACATCTAATCTTTCAAACCTATATCTGTCCCCCTTTCCAACATTCCAGCTAACCTCAACCTCTCCCCTGCAGACCTCACACCTCTCCACCCAGACAAAGGTTCCAGCCCTACCTGAGCAACCACCAGGATGTGCAGACTCACTAAATACCCCCATCTTTCTCAATGGCGGAGCCCACATGGCCATAATGGCTTGACAAACAAAATTGAAGAGAGATGGGAGGAGTGCTGTAGCCTAGCAACAGCACCTGGACTGTTGGTTTCTATTTGCCACGGACTTGGAAGCTATTGGCAAGAGGAAGAACCTCTCACTCTCTCAGAGACTAAATATAAACTTTAAAGAAAACCAGCTGCAGATATTTCACACAAGTATTTTCTAGGAATCAGAGCACTTTCTGAAATCAGCTTTCAGAGTTAAGGCAAAGATACTGAACTGTTAACTCCACCAATGCCCTGTATGAAACTGACCTCCCAACTGAACTGAGAGGTTCTTACTGCTCTGCCACCAACAGCAATTTGTCAACAGGAAAGCCAATGAACTGTGAGAAATCAACTCATTATTTCCCCTAATAGAGGGATTGAGTTCAAGAGCCATGAAGTTAAGCTCCAGCTATACAAAAGCCTGGTTCGGCCACATCTGGAGTATTGCGTCCAATTCTGGTCACCTCATTACAGGAAACATGTGGAAGCTTTGGAAAAGGTGCAGAGGAGATTTACCAGGATGTTGCCTGGAATGGAGGGAAGGTCTTACGGGGACAGGTTGAGAGAGCTAGGGCTTTTCTCTTTAGAACGACGAAGGATGAGAGGTGACTTGATTGAGGTGTACAAATTGATCAGAGGTATATACATAGAGTAGACAGCCAGAGACTTTTTCCTAGGGTGGAGGTAGGTTTTACGAGGGGGCATAGTTTTAAAGTGAAAGGAGGTAGATATCGGGGAGACATCAGAGGTAGGTTCTTTACTCAGAGCGTGGTCGGGGTGTGGAATGCATTGCCGGAGAGGGTAGTGGAGTCAGCCTCATTAGGGGCATTTAAGCAGCTATTAGATAAGCATATGGATGATAGTATAAGGTAGCGGTGGAGGTTAGATGGACCTTAGGTTTCGGGTAAAAGTTCGGCACAACATTGTGGGCCGAAGGACCCGTACTGTGCTGTACTGATCTATGTTCTATGTTCTAACTTTGGACTGTTTTGATCCACAAGGGATTTTGTTTTCCCTAACTTTTTTTCCCCCCAACCATAATAGCTCTGCAGAGCTGTGTTCTCATGGTTGAATGCTTGAGTGTAAAGGAATATTGTTTAATTCTGAATGGTAACTTTGTTAATAACCAGTTTTGCTACTTGTTCAAAAGAATAGCCTCAATAAATTATTTATTTTTGAGTTTGTTGAAGAAAATCTTGTCAAAGTCCATTTTACTCCAAACAACTATAACAAAGAAAAGATTCTTTGAAAGTAGAGTCACAGGTAGACAGGATAGTGAAGGCAGCATTTGATATGCATTCCTTTATTAGTCAATGCATTGAATACAGGAGTTGCGATGTCATGTTGTGGCTGTACAGGACATTGGCTCGGCCACTTTTGGAATACTGCATGCAGTTCTGGCCTCCCTGCTATAGGAAAGATATGGTGAAAGTTGAAAGGGTTCATTTACAAGAATGTTGCCAGGTTTGGAGGGTTTGAGCTAAAAGAAGAAGCTGAATAGGCTGGGGTTATTTTCCCTGGAGCATCAGAGGCTGAGGGATGACTTTGTACAGGTTTACATAAAGTCATGAGGGACATGGATAGGGTAAACAGGCAAGGTCTTTTTCCCAGGGCGGGCCAGTCCAAAACTAGAGGGCATAGGTTTAAGGTGAGAGGGGAAAGATTTAAAAGGAACCGAATGGGCAGCTTTTCCATGCAGAGGGTGGTGTGTGTACGGAAGGAGCTGCCAGAGGAAGTGATGGAGGCTGGTACAATAACAACATTTAAAAGGCATCTGGATGGGTTTATGAATAGGAAGGATTTACAGGGATATGGGCCAAATGCTGGCAAATGGGACTAGATTAATTTTGAATATCTGGTCAGCATGGACGAGTTGGACTGAAGGGTCTGTTTCCGTGCTGCACACCTCTATGACTTTATGACTCCAAATACAAGATTTATACTTTGATGCAGCTCAGAGTGTCTGGGGCTTAATTACAAACACACCCATCCCAACAGAATAGTGACACCAAAACAGCAAGACATGGTTGAGAGTACAGGATACTGCACAGGCTATGGGGCACTGAAAACATTCCAGCACTTGCACTGCAGACCTCAGGGCTCAGGTACATAATTCTTTGAAATTTGTATCACAGGCAGATTAGGGTAGTTAAGAAGGCATTTAGCACACTTGCCTTCATTGCTCAGGCCATTCAGTACAGGAGTTGGGGTGTCATGTTGAGGTTGTACAGGATGTTGGTGAGGCCTCTTCTGGAGTACTGTGTCCAGTTCTCGTCCCCCTGTTACAGGAAGGATATTATTAAACTGGAGCAGGTTCAGAAAAGTGTTACTAGGATCTTGCTAGGAATGGAGGGTTTAAAATGTAAAAATAGACTGGAAAGGCTGGGATTTTTTTCCCCTGGAGTGTAGGAGGTTGAAGAGTGACCTTATTCAAGTTTATAAAATAAGGGCATAGATCATGTAAATGACAAGGTTCTTTTCCCTAGGGTGGGGGGAGTTCAAAACTAGGGAGCATACTTTTAAGCTGAGAGGAGAAAGATTTTAAAAGGACATAAGGGGCAACTTTTTTTAAAAGCAGAGAGTGGTTCATGTGTGGAACGAACTGCCAGAGGAAGTAATGGATGCAGGTACAGTTACAATGTTAAAAAGACATTTGGATAAATTCATGAATTGGAAAGGTTTGTCAGAATATGGGCCAAGCGCAGGCAGGTGAGACGAGTTTGGTTTGGGAAGATGGTTGACGTGGACTGGTTGGACCAAAGGGTCTATTTCCATGCTGTATGAGTCTATGATTCCGTGACTCTATGACTTGTGCTTCAGAACTTGCGTCACCCTTAGCTAAACTGTTCCAGTATAGTTATAACACTGGTATCTACCTGACAATGTGGAAAGTTGCCCAGGTATGTCCTGTACATAAAAAGCAGGACAAATCCCAAACAGCCAATTACCGCCCCATCAGTCTATTCTCGATCATCAGTAAAGTGATGGAAGGTGTCAGTAACAGCGCGATCAAGCAGCACCTGCTCAGCGACACCCAGTTTGGGTTCCGCCAGGGCCACTCAGCTCCTGATCTCATTACAGCCTTGGTACAAACATGGACAAAAGAGCTGAATTCCAGAGGTGAGGTGAGAGTGACAGCTCTTGACATCAAGGCTGCATTCGACTGAGTGTAGCATCAAAGAGCCCGAGCAAAACTGGAATCAATGGGCATCAGGGGACAAACTCTCCAGTGGGTGGAGTCATGCCTGGTACAAAGGAAGATGGTTGTGGTTGTTGGCGGTCCATGAAATACAGAAGAGGACAAATCAGCCCATCAAGTCTAGTCCTACATTCAACAAGATCACAGCTGATCTGATATTCCTCAACCCCACTTTCCTGCCTTCTTGCCAAAGCCTTTGATTCCCTTACCGATTGAAAAATCTATCTCAGCTTCCACCTCGGTGAAAGAATCCAGAAAGGAGATCGGAGAACAGAATGTTTTGCAAAGCAAACAGAACATCACATGACATTCTGTCAAAAGGTCCCACTGAAATGTCTTTTCCCAATTTTCTTTCCTCCACATAAAACACCTTTTTTGTTTTATCTGTCTACCTGCATGGCTGCAGAGGATTTAAAACAGGATTAGACTTTAACTGGTAGAGTTGTGTGCTAATAGTTCAGAGGTTTGTTCATCTGCTGCTGGAACGTATTTATTTGTAATGAACAGTATTTCTTGTTAAGTGCAAGAAACTGGTCAGTGTTTTCTGTTAAATTAATCCCAGCAGACAAGTTTATTGAGGACTTTGAGAACTCTAAGTAAATTCATAAGACCATAAAGTATAGGAGCAGAATTAGGCCATTCAGGCCATTGAGTCTGCTCCGCCATTTGATCATGGCTGATATGTTTCTCAACCCCATTCTCCTGCCTTCTCCCCGTAACCCTCGCTAATCAAGGACCTGTCTTAAATGTATTCATTGACTTGGCCTCCACAGCCCTAATTGGCAATAAGTCCCACAGTATCACCACCCTCTGGTTGAAAAAATTCCTCATTTCAGTTCTAAAGGGTTGTAGAACTTTGAAAAGATGCTGGTCTAGACACGAAACCTCACTTGTTGAGAATAAAATTGGTAAGAGAGACCACCATACCCATACGCCTTGGAACTGAATGCACTGACCTGTGGTTGTGGTGAGTCAGGTAAAGGCGGCTGGACCTGGGCCTTCATAGTGAGGGCTTCTCCCCTTCTTTCTTCAATCGCCTGTTTCATCACTTTCAACTCACTGGGGTGTGGTGTTGCCCTGCGTTGTAACCGACCCTAAAAACAAGCAGAAAGATGCCAGCGTTTACAGTAGCCTTTTGGACAGGAAGTGCTTGCTCATAGACAGCATGACTAACACAGACACACCAACAGAGACTGGCAGTGCAGAGACACAGCGACATGTGCCTGTAACGTCTATCCCCAGACTGGTATAAACTGCACTCCCTCCCCTCAGACTGGGTGACCTTGCACACTGTACGACAACCACCAGCACAAAGAGGCCCTGTGAGACCTACCCCTAAACCCAAGACCAGGGAATTCTGCAACCATCATCCCCCTTCAGGAAACACTGCAAACCCAAGAAACTCACTCGTCTCTCTGCCTCTTCCTCGTTCTCCTCGTCATCCTTCAGCTCCTCCTGGAACTGGATCACACTGACCCGGTTCAGATTGGGCTCTGTCCAGCCCTCATCCAGGCTGTCATTCAAGAGATTCTCTGCAAGAAGCATGAATGGAATCAGGGTCTAAATGTACTCATCAACCAAGAACCGATTTAATAACTGCACCAATTTGAAAAGTGACACAGATACTAAAATGAAGATGTTTATTAGAGAACGAGCCAAGAGCCTGTCACTGTTAGACAGCACCTTCCAAACCCATGACCACTTCCATCTAGAAGCTCAAGGGCAGCTGACACATGGGAACACCACCCCCTCCATGTTCCCCTCTAAGTCACTCAACAACCTGACTTGGAAATATATTGCTGTTCCTACAGTGTCACTGGGCCAAAATCCTGGAATTCCCTCCCTCAAGGCATTGTGGGTCAAGTGCAGCAGCTCAAGGCGGCAGCTCATCCCCACCTTCTCAAGGTGCAATTAGGGATGGGCAATAAATGCTGGTCCAGCCAGCAACACCCATGGCCCATCAGTGAATTAAAGCACAGCTGAACCAGCCTACACAGTTACTTGTTCACATCAACCCGGAGCTGAAGTGAGCCACATTTTAGATAAACTTCTTACTAAGGGTTAGCTGTCCACCCTGTGTATAACTGTCAAGTGAGACAACGTCCAGGGCATTTCAGCATTTATGTGCGTGTGGAGATTATTATCAGGAGCAGCTGAACAGCAATGCTAGGCATATGAGAATCAGGAGGGAGAGCAGCCACTAATTTTCTAAATGAGTCGATATCCAGATCTTACCCAGACTGGGGGACGGCTGCTGTGGTAGGAGGTAGCAGGTCAGGACCTTCTCACCAGTTTTCTCGTCGTCCTCAGTTTGGAACTTCAGCATTGGCTGCGACTGATTCTCAGCCAACCACAGAGCCTTCAGATTGAGGTTCGTGAGGGCAAAAGGCAGGTTGATCAGCCTGGGGAAAGATCACAGGGTGAGGAGACACACACAACACCAAGGAAGATTGGGCACAACAGGACAGGGGTGGGGGTACCACAGGATGGGGGATTTTCGGAGGAGTGGAGAGTGAATGAGTTGGGGTCTGGTTGCACAGGAAGGGGAGGGCACTATGGGACTCTACTGTACAAATTCACCAAAGAAACAAAGTTGCTCACTGTCATCATGCACTGCTGATCTCAACATAAATTCCAATCAGTAACTTTGCATTTTATTTTACTTGTCTCTTAGTCATTGGTCTTCAAGTTCTTTGGCAGCCACAATCTGAAGCATCTCTGTTTTAAGTCTTATTCTGGGAATATTCTACATTTTCCAGTCTAGTCCAATGAAGCTAAGACCTCAACTTGCACATCTGTGTCTGTCAAGACCACAGGTACTCGTTTTCACGTGACCTGGACAATTGTTCTGTTGTACATGATCACTTTCTGATGTAAGAACCACTCCTAGATCTACTACCAAAACGGAGACAGCGTTTCACCCACTCCACACTCTCATTGTGCTAATTCAGAGTCCTTGCTTCTTAATCAGTGCGCTAAACATTCAGCCAATATTTATACATGCTTGCTCCTTTTCCAGTATATCCCTCCAATTACTACTTCTCTCTGAAATATATTCTCCCATGGCTATACCATGAACCATTGACTGCTACCAGCACCCACCTCTTGACTGTAACTGGTGCCCATCCCTTGATCATGACCACTGTTCACTTCCTGACCAATCACATTTTGTTCCTCAGGACCTTATTCACCATTCCTCAGCATCAGTGGGTTAACATCCTGGAAACCCATTCCTATCAGCATTGCATTTGTCCCAACAGCCCAAGGGCAGCGGTGGTTAATGAGACAGCTCACCATCACCTTTTCCAGCTCAATATGGAATGAATCCTGGCCCACACAGCACATCACAAAGATCTCAGTTCCCACAAAGAAAAGGAAATCGTACGTTGGCAAACTGACAGCAGCTTACTTGTCACTCTTTACAACAAGTACAAGGATTAAGAACATAGAACAGTACAGCACGGTACAGGCCCTTCGGCCCATGACGTTGTGCCGACCTATTATCCCACTCTAAGATCAAACTACACAATTGCAGCAAGTGGCTATGCACAGAGCTGGAACCAAGCTTAAGACATTTTATACTTATTTACAGAATTGCAAATTACAAACATATACTTTCTAACATAACAGCAATTATCAGTCTATTTACAGGGGCTCAAGTAATGGCCACCCACCATGTAATTAAAGACAACAGCTATGCAATTAAGGAAAGCTCTGCACATTCACAACGCAGTGACGCCGCCCTCCCTCTGGCTCACAGGTGTTAGGAAGGGGCAGTCGAACCGCTCTGACAACTAAAATCCAGTTTACGGGCCAGCGTGCAACTCCGCGCTGCCTCCAGTTTACG